TCAGCGCGACCCCCGACGACACAGCCCTCCTTTTATATTAAAACTAAATAAGTAATCACTAATCTGGAGTCATTTTTCTTGTTCACAAATTTACTAGGGGTCCTCGCCGGGAGAGAGACCTCTCCGCCGACTTTGCCGTCCCCCGGGAGTTTGTAAATGTATCGTTTACGACTCTCAGTTATTTCACTCTATTTTCGCCCCACCAATTACTACCGTCCAACGTTGCCGAATCTTCAAGTCTCTTCAATTTTCTAAATTATTTTAAATGGAGTCGAGGCATGGCTCCATGCCATTTTGCTCCTGCTGTGCTGTAAGAGCGCAATTTCATTTTTGCCTAATAACGTGTGTCGCATTGGCGTGATGTGAATTGCGATGTATCGATTGCCGTGCCATTTAAACTTTTGGAAAAGGATCGATAAACAAGGTGTTCGCAGCGAATACCTTAATAATCGATTCTTTACCATGCGGGTTAAATGGCATAACAATCGATACATCGCAATTCACGCCACGCCACTCGTTTGCGGTCCTAAGGAAGAACGCCGTGGGAGCATTCGTCTAATGTCAAATTTTTCCTGGTAAAAATATACAATTTATGAAAATTAGTGGATCCTGTTCCGTTGGAATTTTAGTAGTGGTGTATTCGCACACCAATCCAATGTTGTTGAGGATTTCGAAAAAAAATGTTTCGTTGTTATCAAAACTACAAAACCCGAAGGCATTTGACATCATTCCAATGCGTACACGGCGTTTTTCCTTAGTAAGGCAGCATGAGCTCTGAAAAGCCATCGATGTTTACGATAGTCTCAACATGCTGATGACGTTAATGCATTCAATTACTTTTTTAAGTAAAAATGTAATTTCAAAATTCATAGGTTTAATCATAGGCAGGTCACTTTGGTGTTGGCACATTCTACTGTAATTATGCCCCATTTTCTACATGCGATTCCTGCCTGGACTCATTTTAGAAATACAATCACATCTGCAAAATTATTAAAAGAAATACGGCCTACGAATCCAGAAAGCGGCCCTTACTGATACCTTGTTCCGTAAAACAGAACGGGTTTTTTTACTCTCAAAAAAAAAAATGAAAAAATAATAATAAAAAACCTAAAGAGTTGGGGCTGGTTCACTTATCACTATTCGATTGGCCCGTGGTTCTTTCCGTTTAATTGGACTACATTTTGCAATCAGGAACTATAAATTGTGCCTCAGTTTAAAACCATCGTATGTACCATTAGTTTTTCTATCCAGGTAAATGCTTTTACAGATGGGTGGGAAGTTATAGTTCCGAATTGCAAAATAAAGTCCAATAATTGGTCTATATTTTGCAACTGAGCACAACAATAACTGGCTTATTTTAAAAACAACGTATGCATATTAGTTTCCCTGAGCACGTAATGGTTTTCCTAGAAGAACCAGAATTTATAGTTCCAAATTGCAAAATGCAGTCCAATTGTCCCATTTGACACCGCAGCTGACGGGGCAAAGTTCCTTCGTCTTTCAATGGCTACGCACTCTCAGGGGAGCAGAGCCGTTTTGTCCCTCTTTCGGACGACCCTCGGCGCGGCGCGGGACGCTCGTCAGACGCGCGCGGGGTTGCGGGCCCATCGCGCCCTGCCCTTGACTCCGTTCCGCGAATGCACAACGAGTTCAACGATTAACAATCACTTGGAAATTTACGCAATTTTCCTCCCTTCTCCGCCCCCCTCCCTTCGGTCGTTGTCCTCAACCCACGCCTCCTGGTGAGACAACGACCCCGGTGAGACTGATTTGTCCGCCGCCACTTTTCCTCGTCAAATTTTCTGCGTGGCAACGTAATTGGCGTGAGTCACGCATAGTTTTGTCTTTGGGAGTGTGTTTCTGCCTTGGATCTAATTTGGTGGATGGTTTCTCGTAAGCAAAACTGTATTGAGCGCAGGTATCAATGGTTGAGAAGATTCGACGGTTGTGTCAGAGCGACGTGCGATACATTGCATCAATTCGTTCCATAAGTTCAGCTACTTTTCATTTTTTTCGAATTTTGAGATCGCACTTCTGTTTTCATAAGACAAGAGAATTCATGTACCAAATTTGACAAAGAAATTCAACGTTATGAAGGCAGGGGTTTCTTTTAGAGGAAAAATATTGCATTCGATACTGATATCGAATCTGCACTCGAATGCGACATTTTTCCACTGAAAAAACCCTGCCTTTAATACATTGAATTTCTTTGTCAAATTTGGTACATGAATTCTTCAGTGTCTCATGACAACAGAAGTGCAGCAATCTCAAAATTCGATAAAAGCAGTTACTTTAGTAATGCCAAGATGTAAAACAAACTGGTCTGCCGGGTAATTTAGCAGTTTATACTCACACTTTTTTTTTTTACATCTAGAATGTTAAATCAACTTCACTTTTTTTCCGGTGAAAACTGAGTCATTTTCAGTCGGAGAGTAAATTAAAAATTAAATATATTGAGAAAAAAACGTGAGACCTTCAGGTACCTACAGGTGAGGCCTACCTGTGGGTCTCAGATTTTTCCTTTGATATTTTTCATTTTTCATATATTTTCCAACTGAAAATGACTCAATTTTGAGTCGAAACATCTCGGGTTTTTAGTGATGTATTNCTATTCGATTGGCCCGTGGTTCTTTCCGTTTAATTGGACTACATTTTGCAATCAGGAACTATAAATTGTGCCTCAGTTTAAAACCATCGTATGTACCATTAGTTTTTCTATCCAGGTAAATGCTTTTACAGATGGGTGGGAAGTTATAGTTCCGAATTGCAAAATAAAGTCCAATAATTGGTCTATATTTTGCAACTGAGCACAACAATAACTGGCTTATTTTAAAAACAACGTATGCATATTAGTTTCCCTGAGCACGTAATGGTTTTCCTAGAAGAACCAGAATTTATAGTTCCAAATTGCAAAATGCAGTCCAATTGTCCCATTTGACACCGCAGCTGACGGGGCAAAGTTCCTTCGTCTTTCAATGGCTACGCACTCTCAGGGGAGCAGAGCCGTTTTGTCCCTCTTTCGGACGACCCTCGGCGCGGCGCGGGACGCTCGTCAGACGCGCGCGGGGTTGCGGGCCCATCGCGCCCTGCCCTTGACTCCGTTCCGCGAATGCACAACGAGTTCAACGATTAACAATCACTTGGAAATTTACGCAATTTTCCTCCCTTCTCCGCCCCCCTCCCTTCGGTCGTTGTCCTCAACCCACGCCTCCTGGTGAGACAACGACCCCGGTGAGACTGATTTGTCCGCCGCCACTTTTCCTCGTCAAATTTTCTGCGTGGCAACGTAATTGGCGTGAGTCACGCATAATTTTGTCTTCGGTAGTGTGTTTCTGCCTTGGATCTAATTTGGTGGATGGTTTCTCGTAAGCAAAACTGTATTGAACGCAGTGTATCGATGGTTAAGAGGATTCGACGGTTGTCATTTTCTGTGTCAGAGCGACGTGCGATACATTGCATCAATTCGTTCCATAATTTCAGCTACATTTCATTTTTTTCGAGATTTTGAGATCGCACTTCTGTTGTCATGAGACTAAGAGAATTCATGTACCAAATTTGACAGAGAAATTCAACGTAATGAAGGCAGGGGTTTTTTTTTAAAGGAAAAATTTTGCATCCGATACTGAACTCGAATCTGCACTCGAATGCGATATTTTTCCACTGAAAAAAACCCTGCCTTTAATACATTGAATTTCTTAGTCAAATTTGGTACATGAATTCTTTAGTCTCATGACAACTGAAGTGCAATCTCAAAACTCGATAGAAGCAGTTACTTTAGTAACGCCAAGATGTATAAAACAAACTAACCAACTGCTCTGCCGGGTAATTTAGCAGTTTATAATTTCTCGCACACTTTTTTTACATCTAGAATGTTAAATCAACTTCACTTTTTTTCCGGTGAAAACTGAGTCATTTTCAGTCGGAGAGTAAATTAAAAATTAAATATATTGAGAAAAAACGTGAGACCTTCAGGTACCTACAGGTGAGGCCTACCTGTGGGTCTTAGATTTTTTCTTTGATATTTTTCATTTTTAATATATTTTCCAACTGAAAATGACTCAGTTTTGAGTCGAAACATCTCGGGTTTTTAGTGATGTATTTTAGTCTTGTTCCCCGTTTTTTCCCTTGTTTTTTCTCCTGTTTTTACTAGGCAGGGTTGTCACAGCATTTAGAAAATGAAATTCCCTGACATTTCCCTGATTTTCCTGACACATTTCGGTGAAATTCTCTGACAATTGAAGATGTGACGAATGGTTATATTATTTATTATATAATTGGATATATTTATGCTAAAAAGACTATGTGCGTAGGGTTTGTGTGCAACATAGTTCCTTTTAGCATAAATACGTTCAATTGAAATTAGTTTTCAACTAAAAGTTGTTCGAAACCTCAAACCCATTCTAGAAAGCAAATGAAGGCGCTTTAACACATTTTCATTGACATTTTCGACATTTTTGTCGTTTTCGTAATTTTCCCTGACATTTCCCGGTTTCTCCTGACTTTTTAAAATTCCCTGATATTTCTCGGTTTTCCCTGAGGCCTTGTCCACACGAACGCGGTTCGCGGAACTCAGTTCGAGGAACTTGTTCCCGGAACAAGTTTTTTGCTGAGCTGAAACTTATTCCTCCAAAACCTGGAATTACCCCCGTGCTCCGAGCTTCTAAATATGTTTCTTTTGATGTGAATTTCCTTGTTTTTGTTTTTCACGTCCTTTACATATGGTCTTGACATTTATTTTTGTTACTTTGGCGCTCATAATAATCTATTATTTTGCAATAATTGTATAGTTTTATTCAAGTTCCGGTTCCAGTTCGGACGAGCCCGTGTGGACAGCATGCCTCGTTTCAAGGAATAAGTTCCGGGAACTGAGCAAGTTCGAGGAATAAGTTCCGCGAACCGCGCTCGTGTGGACAAGGCCTGACGGTGTCAACCCTGTCTAGGACTGTCATCTATGAGAAGAAATGATGGAGACATAAAAGGTTTTGGGTGAAAGGACCTACCGAAAACGAGCATTTTCTTGACCATGAAGTCCTCGTCGTCGAAGGTGGAGACCTGGCACTTGTACTCGCCGGAGAGCTCGGTGGTGGGGTTGAGGATGTAGAGGGCGCGATGCTTGGTGGCGCGGTGCTCGGAGGAGGCGTAGTCGAGCCGGAGGCGGCCCTTGAGGATCCCGAGGTCCTGCGGCTTCTTGCCCGGGATCCACTGGTAGACCGGGGCCGCGCTGTTGTTGAAGAACCACTTGACCACGAGGCCGGCCTCCTTGTTCAGCTCGTCCGGACGCAGCGAGTACTCGCAGTCCAGCAGCGCCCCCGGCCGCGTACCGTTCTCCACGAACGCCGGCACGCGCAGGTCCGTTATCTGAACACCAACTGAAACAAATCGAAACAAATCTCGTAAATTTATTTGCAAAGCAAATTTGAAAAATTAGATGTTAGGTTGCCTAAGGAGGTTCTGAATTGGACGTATTTCTATCAAACAGACCTATGCGGAGGTGAGAAATATGGGGTGTGCTCGTCGAAGCTGCATAAGAAACAATGTAAAAGAGGACGTGATTCCTTTTGAAGAATTGGCAAAGCGGGATTTTACATTCTACCAAACAGACCTATGTGCCAACTGAATGCGGAACTCATGAGCCGCGGGCATGGCAAGAGAGCGTTGTGGACAGGGCTCGTGAGTTTATGCGGAGGCGGGCGGACGAGGGCGGAGGAGGCGAGTGGCTTCATTGCCGCTGACGTCACTGGCGCTTTATTATTCTCATTCACTCTTACGGCCAGAGAACTAACGAGCACTCCTCATATTTCTCACCTCCGCATAGGTCTGTTTGGTAGAAATACGTCCAATTGGGGGTACCTCCTGGCAGAAAACGTAGAGGGCGCCCTGCCAAAGCATGGATTGAGGGAAAAAGGCAGGGAATAAGGAAATGCGATCTGCCGGAGGAGCTCTGGCAGGATCGCTAGCAGTGGCGGTTGGGTGTCGCCGAGCGCTCAGAAGCGCTATAAGAGCGACTTGTTCACTGGTAAAAAAAAACCTCTTGGTTCAAAAGTGCAGTTTCTTGTCGCCGGATTTAAGAGTCTGGACTCATGTTTCAATGCAAAATTCGCTTGAATCAATGCAAAATCCTTTTGGAACAAGAGTTCAAGACTCTTAAATCCGGCGACAAGAAACTGCACTCTTAAGTCAATGCAATGCGGCATTGGTCCAAGTGGTTTTTTTTTACCAGTGTTAGTAGTAGTAAATGTGAAAATTTAGAAATTTTACTCAGGGTCAAGGGGGGGTTTTGAAAAATTGAATGTTGCTTTAGCATTAATAATGTTTTATAATGAACGACAAGAATCAAAAGCTGATTTTGCAATATAAAAATACTCTCTTAACTACGTCCACGGTTGAATAAACAAAATCAAAAGTAGAGTTAGCATTTTTTTAAAATGTAAAATCAAAATTTGAAAATTGCCGCACATTCTTTTGACACTATAATTGCTAAAGCAACATTCAATTTTTTCCGTGAAAGCCCTTGCCGCGATCTGGAGTTTTTGCCTTCGAGGCCTTGTCCACACGAGCGCGGTTCGAGGGACTTCGGGCGAAATCGACCGAGGAACTTCTTATAACTCACCCAATAACTTGTTGATGGAACCCACAGTTCACGAAACTAATTCGTCCAAACTGCGCTCGTGTGGACAAGGCAAGGCCTCACGGATATATTTCTGATTTTCCTCCCAGAGAAATCGAAGTTTCCCTCACGATTGAACGTAACTACATTTCAATTTTGCCAAATTTTTCCCTCGCAAGTGGGTCAGTTGCGCAAGTTACAGAGTCGTGTATTGGTAGCTGATTCTTGTAGATTAGCTAAAAATAATAAGATCCTTCCTAACAGCAACTCTCTACGTTCAATGTTAACCGAGATATCGCCCTTTGAAAACTAGGGTTTTCGACGTCATCCACCGCGGTAGTGTCACCCTTGGTTTCTTCCACGTTGCTTTCATCAGTCGATGTGATGGCATTTGCTGTTCAACGCGAAACCCGGATGGAAGCAAGGTGGGAGAGACCAAAGGGTGTTACTAATGTTACTACCGCGGTGGATGCCGTCAAAAACCCGAGTTTTCAAAGGGCGATATCTCGTCTAATATTGAACGTAGACAGTTGCTGTTTAGACAGAACTTATTTTTTTTAGCCAATCTACAAGAATCAAGCATCAAAAACACAATTTTGTGACCAGCGCAACTGACCTATTGCATTATTACCGGGGCAATCTTGGACATTTGGACTGCATTTTGCAATTCGGACCTATAAATTCTGGCTCATCTGAAAAAACACTTATGTGCATAGGGAAACTAATGGTACAGACGTTGTTTTTACACCGGGCCGGAATTTATAGGTCCAAATTGCAAAATTCAGTCCATTTCTAATTGAAAATGCCACTGACTTTCCCTCAGGTATTATGTGAGAATCTGAACAATTTTGGACAAAAATTGTGCATGTATATCCTTGTAAAACATTATTAATTATTTATCGTTAAATTATTATTAGTCATTTATTTTTCGTCTTCGCAATATTGCGTTCAACACCAATTATATATTTAACGCAGTAATGGTAAAATATGATTTTAAGGGCTAGAAACTCAACTGAACTATAAAAAAGCGGCGACACGCGTTTTGATCATGAGGTACTTGACCCCAGAAGGTGCTTCAGTGAAGGGGCTCAGAGCAAGGGACAAACAATATTTAATAAGTTTTTCAAGCCATTTAACCTCGTCGACGGGAAATATCAATAAATATGGCGGCTGATATCGCGAGGTGACCTAACATAGGAATGAGGGCACACTGGACTTTTCCTCCACGGCGCCGTGCGTTATGCCCTGCATACAGGGTGTCTCAATGTGAAACCGTCAGAAGCGAGATTTCGTTCCAAAATAAAGTTGTTTCCGTGTGTGTTTTCAGTCAGAGCTACGGTTACCTCCCCAATGTTTGACTGTTTTTGACATCAAAATGTTCTTTAACCGCTTATTTTTTATCTAGAATCAATAACTCCATGCTTATTTTTTAGGACTGGGGTATACGTCCTTTTAACTGGGGAGGGTTACATATGGATACTTAAATCAGGTCCTTGATGTGAGATGAGCATGTATTCAATGGTTGAAGATCTGCTCACAGCTACAATATAGCATTTAATTCGTACAATTGGACTCGATATTGCAAGGAATATGCAATGAAGAATAAGGAACTATAATTTCTGGCTCATCAATGTACAGTATTAAAACTTACACAATTATTTGCCTTTAAAATTTACCATTTTTTGGTGGAAAGCAAAAGTTAGGTATTTGCTTTTCTGAGAGATTTTGTAGATAATTATGAAGAAGCATCGTGTTTATGACACTGTAATCGCGCTGGTTCCTCTTTGCGAAATGCGATCCATTTCACTGACACGTTTTGAGTCGAAACCTGAACAAACCCTCTCATCCCGTGCGGGGTTTTTTTTTCCTCCCTCTTTTTTTAATTGTTCGGAACGTCAACTAACATAAACTGTAAAGGGCTTTTATTTCTCGATCAAAATTTAACTTTACGAAGGCCGGTTGGTAGAGCACAAAAAACCGGGGGCTCTAAATATTTACATTCGGCTCTCTCCCCACCTTAGTTGCCAGATTGTGCTGAAAAATCAACACTTTTCCCTACTTAAATCAATGTAAAGTATCCAAATTGTATCGCACAATCCGACGACTCTGCTCCCCACCCCATCTCCCTCCTCGGACCCTTCTCTGTGAAAAACCTCTTATCATTGCGTGCTAGCCGTATACAGATACGCGATTCTTGCTATAAGCGCACCGGTGCTCACCGAAACTCCGCCCTCCGCAGGTTGGCCGGACACGAAACCGCCGTCGGCGAATAAATTCGCTCTCCGATATCCCCGAGATCAGTCCACCTCCTTACATTCTCCCCATTTGAGGAAAAACACCGTATGATCTTCCGGTCGTTGCCACATTCCCTTTGATAAAATGTGCGTTTTCCGGAAAACTAATACATGTTTTTATCTTTATCTTAACAGAGAATTTCGTTCTCAATTTTATCTAACTTTAATGGTATGAAATTTGTGGGGGAAAATAGGCACTAGCTATTATCTATATCATCCCTTGTCTTCCTCATTTGCACTTCAATTTTCAATTCGGAGCTACAATTTTTGCACGGAAAAAAAAGTGGATTGCTGATTTAACAATTTAATTATTGAAAAAATATGGCCAACAGGTTTCAAATACATAAAAACACTTGTCTACTTAGGGAAGCAGGTGATACACATGTTGCATCTATAATGAGCTAGAAATTGTAGTTCCTAACTGAAAGCTAAATGTGGTCCATTTCGTCTTCCAAGTCGGAAGGTGAGGTCGAACAAGACGAGGGGGGAAAATATAGAACAAGAGAAAGGAGAAGAAAAAGGAGAAAAATTTAAGGGAAAACAATTTCCTCATATTTTCTCCTTTTTCTCCCTGTGTTCATTTCTTTACTTCTTCCTCTTCTTATTCATTTAAACTTCATTTCGCAAATAGGAGCTATAATTTTTGGTTCACATTCGAAAAATTATAAGTGGCATTAGTTTCATCATGAAAATCGGCGCTTTTATAGACGAACTAGCAATGGTAGTTCCATATTGCAAAATGATCCATTTCTCCTCTTCTCCTACTGTTCTTTCCTTGAATTCCCTACGTTTGCCTCTTCCTCTCCATTTTATCCTGCATCTTCTGCCTCTTAATCTTAATCCGTCTTCCTCTTTTGAATCTTCTCCTCCATCTCCTTCTTTCCTCTTCCTTTTCTCGTCCCCCTTCTACAAATTTCTTATATGTCCTCATCAGACACATCTGTTGAGAATCCTAAGATCCGAGTCAGTCAACCTAGTGTAAAAATATCCGCCAAACACGGAAAAAAATTAAATGTTGATTTAGCATGTATATTGTTTAAAACATGTCCGACAAGTTTCAAATACTGATTTTACATTCGGAGAAATGCTAACTTAACGACGCCCACTGTAAAACGATGAAATTCGAATGTTGGGTTAGCATTTTTGTACTGTAAAATCAGCATGTGAAACTTGACGGGCTTTTTTTTAACAGTTTAAATACTAAATCAGCATTTATTTTTTCCGTGAAAAAGGAAATTCGACGACCCTGGAATGCCGATGCGGCGTTTTTCCGCGACACGGGAGCTTACATTGTGCGGGAGGACCTTGGAGCCGGCACGGGACATAAAGTTGCTCCTCTGACAAAAGCGAGAATCTCGATTCCCCTTGTGAGCCTTGTTCTTCGTATAACTCGGCGCTTTCTGGGGCTCATGTGGAAATAAGGATGCGTTCCTGTGTCGGAGGAGCGACGATAATGCCTCGGCGCTAA